CCAAGTTCTAAAACAAATACCTAAAGGAATTATCAGATTTCTGTATAATTTTTTACGGCAAAATAAAGAGATTTCACTTCCTATAATGACATCCTCTGGAACTTTCTGTTGGAAATAACATTTGAGTCCTACAGACATCCTGTTCCCTGACTATAGTTTGCAAATCTAATCTGACCAGCCATTGATATGGCTGATACATACAGAAAGGAAATGGACTTTCTTTAAATTATTTCAACAACTTTGTTTTGCTGCCAAACCAATAGTATGATTTGATTGCCTGCTTGTATGAATTTTCTTATGGAGTCATCTGAACTTACAGAGTTATTGATTTAAATTTAATTATAATTAATTTGATGCTTACATTGTTTAAATATAATTAGCTCAATGAAAGTTTAGCAAATTTGCATAATAAAAGGCTTAGGGAAGACAAATCTTTTCCTTCTGTTTTTATATGAAGTTGTGTATTCTGAGAACCTATCATGGTGTCAAAATTCTAACATCAGAAAAAAACTCAGGAAAACTGTAAATGACACACTTTTGCTTAAAAGCTATTATTTAGTCTTGTTACATCTGCAAAAGAAAAGAAAAATCAGTTCCATCACTAATTTCTAGTCTTAATCAAAACAGATGTGAAAACTGATTAAACATTTACAGAATAGAAATTCTGATATTTCTTTTATGATAATTTTCTTTCACATTGAATCCTTAATAGGTTTCTTTTTCATTTAAGACTTGTGAGGAAATAGGTATGGAGGTCTGTTTTCTTCATGTAACATTATCAGTGCTTTCATTATTAGTCTTGTGAAGATATGAAACAATCCAAGATCTCCACAGTGAACTGAATAGGCAAAAATACAGTTTAAAGACAGAAATTGTTTTTTTTTGTTTACAAATAATGTTTGTTTTTGTTTTTTGTCATTAAGGTCAGTGAATGGGAACCACAAAATCAAAAGTTAATTGCATAAACTGAAATGCATCAGATTTACTTTATATTCTATTTAGTGATTCAAAACAATGAGAACTTCATTTAAAAAAAAACAAAAAAACCCACAAACCTGTATCCCAGCTGAACAAAATACTAAAGGCAGTAATTTCCAAGAGGGCTCAGAGCCAAACACATACATAAGAAAGACATGAAAATGTTTATATAAAAGCATAAAAGAACTTCACTTCACTTGCATGACTTTTTGTATCAAGCATGCTACAGCAGTCTTTTGATTCTAATATGAAACTATAGTAAGGATCATTGCACTAATGCGTGAGGATTTGTGATAATGTTGCAGAAATTTTACTGTCAAAACTGAACTGCAGTGTAATGACTTTTGTTATCATGGTTTCTAATAACTATTCAGAATGAATTGACCCTACATATGTTTTACTGCAATAATATGTCACTTATCCTGAAAGTAAAAAAAAAAGGAAACGAGAAATCAATAGATTCCTCCCACATCCTCTGTGTAATATGACCTCCTGAACAGAACCTGAATATGAGAGTGAATTTTTACTTAAATTTTAAACTAATAGTAGTTTTCAGGGAGATTTTTTTAAAATGCAGATTACATGAACAAAAATAATTCTTAAAGTTCTGTTAAACAGATTCAAGTAAATAGTTTGTTAGCATATAATGATATATCCCTATATTTTGGAATCAACCCTAATTTCAAGAGATCAAACTGATGCCTACAGTACAATCACTAATTTATTAGCAAAATACAATGGAAGTAAAAGATTTCATTCTTGGGATAGGTATTCCAAGATTGCCCAGAATAAAAAGGATATGGTAAATAACTAGTTTTGGTCATCATGCACACAAGTATTTCTGGCACTAGTTTGCAAACCTGTTAACATTTCCAGAACAAATTCAAAAAAGAACATTTGAAACTTCAACCCTTCCAAGTGAATGTTGATACTGCTAGCTAGCTTTTTGATTTCAGAAGCCCAGCAAAAACGTAAAATCTCATAGAATTTGTCAGAATGGAAGAATTTGTAGTATAATAATAGGGTGAAGAAAACAAAGGCAGAAGCGTACTATACACCTGCAAAAACAAGTGTATAACCAGTGCTACATAGTAACTTAATTAATCACAAGAATTGAAGGAAGCAGAAATTGCAGCAAAGTTGAAACTTGCCCGTGTGTTTTCCATCAGGCTATAATCTCCTATAGCATGATAGGTAGAAATTCAGACAACAGCAGTGGGATATGAAAACCTTGTCTCAGCCACTGCGTCTGAATAGCAGAATTAAAAAAATAATCCTTTCCTCCTCCAATAGCATTCCTTTGCATTCACTATGCAGAAGAGAGTATTATGCTTTCCACGGGCATAGCTCCTCGATTCGGTGGTGTGTATCCTCCCTGTTCATAAGTGCACCTTCCTCAGTACATAGAAGCTTGCAAGATCATGATAAAACACATCATGTTACCAAAGACATTATTTCAGCTATCAAGACAGAGCCTTTTCTGGGACTGAACAAAGCAGCTGCATAGGATCCCAAAGTAAACCTACTTCATTAGTTAAAGCAGTTACTACATCCACTTAAAATATGCCAAACAATTTAATATTAGTAGATTGCTTTTAGCATCAGTATTCATAAAAACTAGCTTCTCATTTTGAGTATAATAATATATAGTAATAATACAGCATATTATAAATAGCATATAAATAGTATAATAATAATATATAATAATATATATATAGGATATTAAGAGAAGAAAGTCCTCAGGATTTAGGAATGGATGAACACACTTCTTGAAGTCTGCACATTGTAATGCAGGTACGTAGTGCAACACCTAGAAAAATCATTACTGTGATACTCCCTCAGAATTGATTTTCCATTGCAGCTGTAATTCACTTAAAAAAAAAAAAAAAAAAAAAAAAAAAAAAAAAAAAAAACTAAGAAGAAAGAACACCTTCTTTTTAAAGGCTCTGTATGTAGTCAGCACCTTCTTTCCCTTTGTCATAACTGCTAAATACACTGTGATAGTGATAGATGTGTTTTGCCTCAATTGCTGGACTAGTTAGTCCCTTAACATAGTGAAGAGTTATCAGAAAGGAAATCACAGTAGTTGTCACTGTAATTCACAAAATTAATATTCTCAATAGAGTTTCTCATCTTCGTATATATATTGCTACTAAATGGTACTGAGGACTGTCAGCCTAAATATTCCCATCACTAATTTCTACCATAAACTAGGTACACATGTTGTAATGCTGCTTATAAGCTTCTATAGAATAGTATCATACTCATAACCATTTTCTTCATAAACAAGATTTTAAAAAGCCAAACAAATGATTATGTGGCAGAGCTGATGAAGCTAGATCCTGTTGGTATTGCAATGCAATTTTGCTATATTTTACTATGTTTATTTTATTGTATTCAAATTGAGAAGGAAAAAAGCAATAATATATGCCAACTCATTTGCGATTTTGTTTGCTTCCATATTACCTCACCGAGATGTATGATAATATCACCCACACTGTGTCCAGAAGAGGTAAACTGCTGAGTGGGAAATCTGTTTCACAAATATTACCAAGAACAATTACATCCAGAAGGCATTCTTATATCCAAAGAAATTAAAAGTCCAGATTACCTAACACAGATATATTTTTCTTTAGAAAGCATTATAGTGAGTAGGCCCTAATTTCGTATTCAGAAAAAATATTTTCAATTCCTTCTATAACCCACTCATGCTAAGAAACATCTCAGTGCTCACAGCTTTGCCTTTAGATCATATTTAGGGAGCATAATTAGCACTCGCTTGGTGATGAGAAATAGAACAGAATTTCTTCAATTATTTATGTTTTGATCTTCAACTTGTTCTCCAATACTCTTATCTCTGGGAATTTATGACTTAAACATATTTTTGTTCTTGAAATATAGAAAGGTGCGTAGTTAACAAGAATACCTTAGAAGGAACAAATTGAAATTCAAAGTATGCTGAATTTCAGTCAGAGATTTACTGAAGTGGTGTGCGGGAAATGAGTAATGGCTGAAGATACAGGTATAGGACATAAGAGGGACTAAGGGGACTAATACAAGTAAAGTACTACTAATAATTTGAACTTCACATTTCATTTATTTATTTGAAAACTTCTTCACTGCATTTTTAGAAAATGAACTGAAATATTAATATTGACAGGATCTGATTCCTGCATCCATGACCAAAGTTAATAAACATTCTTACCTGAAACTGTTGACATTAACCTACAATTTTTGTACATGATTACTTACACGTGTACTAATTTTCAGAAATACAGACATGAAAGACAACCAAGCAATAGTCTGGTTAACATACCTAGATAATATTTTTGATTTAGTTATAGTTAATGCTGATATAGTCGATGCTCATTCTGAGATCTATAGATGCAAAGCAAAGAAAAAAAAGAAAAAACCATTTGAAAATGGTTTTACAACATCTCAATTTATGTTCCACAACACTGTTAAATTTAAACAAAAAGAAGCCCTATTCAAATGTAACTAATTATTCAAGAGAACATACCTCAGCAGTATACCTCCACCATGGAAGTTATCAAACTAGATTTTAAGGTTTTTTTCATTTTCATGTATATGTTTCCTACATTAAACGTTTGCAGTGTCTGATTATAGCTGTTATAAAGCTCACAATTCCCCTGAAAGACTATTTGATAGAAATGCATAATGTTAGGGTGCTGGATACTATGCTGGGTAATACAGTTTTGTACAAAAATAAATACACTCCAGGTTTAAAAAAAAAAAAAAAAAAAAAAAAAAAAAAAAAAAAACCCAGAACTATGGCAATGAATAATTAATACCTTATATAACAGCTCTGTAAAGTAAAAAACAAAACAAAACAGAAAAACAAGCAAGCAAGCAAAGAAGTGAAAATATAAAAAATGCTCAAGAAGAAAAAAAAATACACATGATAGTTGACATATTGCTAGCATATATTCCATAGGCATTATTGATCAAATGCATTTTAAATAGGAAATACGTTAATCGAATGAGTGATGTTAGCACTTTACCTGCTGATGATCTCTAAATGAATCTTCCACCTTGATTCTACTGTCGTAGAGTTGTGTGAGACTTTCTTTACAGTTTAGGTAGCATTTCTGAGACATTTGATATTCCTTAGCTAGCAACAGATTTTCTCTAATAATTTGCTCCAGATTGGCCTAAAGAGAAAAGTAATTGATTACAATCACTACAAAATGCCCTTCTGAGAAACAAAATTACAGTTCACTTCCACAGTTTCTTTGACTCATTCCCTCATGAGCATCTCTAAAATATAGATAAGATTATGGTTTCAGTGAAACCAATAAGAAATCTACAAATGATTTCACAGTGTTTAGAATTTTGCTAAAACACTTATACTGAAATTAATACTATTAAAAATTAAAAATTACTAATTAAAAATTAAAAAAACATTATTTTCTCAGGAAAATAAACCAAAATAAAGTTTTAAAATAGTTACAATAGAAACTACTAGAAAAAAATACTCTTCTACCTTACTACATAAGTCCTCTTTCTGTATAAAAATTATTTTGTCTTAATTACCAAAAGATCCACTATTTTTTTTCACATTTTACTGTTTAAATCTCTTTTTCCATGTTATACAAAAAAGGAGAGAATGCAATAATCACCTTTTTTTTTTTTTTTTTAATAAATAATCGTAAAGTTTCCCAATCATAATTTGATTGACTTGATTTTAAAGTCTAATTTAATTATCAGCCATCATGGTTCGCTACCAGGTGAACTGTTTGGTAAGTGTGCTTCCATAATCAGACGAATTTCCATTGTTTTTCAAAATGATCTCTGAATTTCCTGTAATTATAATCCATGACTTTGCAACAGTTGTAGAATTTTCTAAGGTATTTTATCTAAGTTACACAGACAATCTGATTTAATTTAAAATTGACTTACATCAAGGAATTCTGCTTTCATTTTTATTTTTTCATAAAAACATGCATTTTATGAGAGGGAATCCCAACTGGACTTATCCGTAGTTAGATGAATGAAAATTTCTTCTAGCTTCATAAGTACAAAACAGGATGCCTGATCTCCAGTTTTAAAAATATTTTTTGAGATATGCTTTAAGTGCATATCCCTAAAATGTATTTTTAAAATAGGATAGCGAGTGATGATGATACCACCCATTAGAGAGGAGAGATGCACAAGGAAGATCAATGGGCAAGCTTAATGCTTGTTAAATTTATGTAAGCTGTTGCCTGTTGTATTTGGGAGGTACTTCTGTTAAATTCAGATGCACATAATAAAGTGGAGGAGTACAGGATGGCTTACAATTATGTACAAGTCTGGGCCATCTAATTAAACCAAGATGTCCATATGAAGAATGGTTGCCGTAATCTAAGGCAATATTTCAAAGTCTTATAACACAGAAGTTTAAAAGTTTAGTCTAAAAGTTTCTCAAGTTACAAAAGTATGGTTGAAAACAAGTTGAGTTTTTATGATTTTTATGGACGATTTGTAATGCTATGTGCTATGGAAACCCTTGCTGAAAAGCAGAGCTATCAGAAGAGGTAGAGCAGTTGGAACAATGCCACCATAAGGTGCTCCCTGAATGGAGCCTCTCTGTCCAGCAGGAGAAATGGCAGCCCTCTGATTTGACAGTCAGAAACCACCAAGTAATGGCAATGCCAAAATCCAAAGAAAGAGTTCATAAACCATTGTAGTTGCATTTCTGGTAGGAGAATACTACTCTGGTAGCATTCAGCTGTTACTCTTTTCACTTCCCTGACACTTCTTCCCTTTGATAGAACACTGTGCAAATCAAAAGATACACGTGAGGCAGAAAAGAAATATTGAGCATAAAGAGGTTTAGATTTATTTTCTCAGATCACTGGTTGATGGTTCAAGTCATTATTTATACATGATTACTAAAAGAGCCAGACTCTGTTGCAGCTAGTCAAGCTCTATTTGGAAGGGCAACACAAGCGCATGAGCTGGGACCATTCTAAAAATCACTAATGTTTTAGATACAAATCACCATATGTTATAGATACAATTTTGCCCAGAGCCAAAGAAGACTAAGGACTTTCAATAAAATGCAAGCCTTGCTTTAATATCTTCCCTGATTTATTTTTTTAAAATGTATTGAATTACCGGACTAATAAAGTCCCAGTTCTTCTGGGTTCACAGTGCATAATGCTGAAGAAGTCTCAAGTTTTTTGAGTTTACTCCCGAGAGAGTAATTCGGAGTCTCACTTTTTAAAGACAAAGCTATCCAAGAGAAATGCCTGAACAGATTCACAGCTATCCCACAGAGCTGCTTTGAATTCGGGAGTTCCCAAGACAGTTAGCCTGCTAACAACTCTTACTTTTTTTTTTTTAAATATGCAATGTCTTAATCAAGATACATTTACTTTTCTATCTATATTTATACACATTTTCAGAAAACTTATGCTAGAAAATTGCCATGGTTATGCATTCAAATCTGAAAATTCTTCTGTGCAGAACCGTCACTCTATGTGTCATTAAATACTAAAATGCTATGCCATCTTCCAGAAATCTCAAGCTTTTTTTAAAGCTGATATTTTCATAAACAAATATACAATGACCGATATTAATATACTGACATTCAGTACACAAAACAAGTACTGTTTTCAACATTGACAGCATCTTTGCATACATAAGGAATATTGGGAAGTCAAAGAAAAACTTGTTTCTGGAATATTAACATCAAAACTTGTTTCTGGAATATTAACATCAATACAGTTATTTGCCTCAATATATATATACCTGAGTCTAACCTACTGAAGTCCTACTGTTTTGTTTTGTTTTTTCATATGTAACTTAAAATGATTCAAACATTTTGACATGAAAAAGACATATTTATGAGCACTCCATCTTTATGAGAGAGAGGAACGATCAAACTGCAACCAAATTTGGTATGTTTCCTATTCTAGCAAAACAGGGATATGAATCTCAAGATTTACGATACAGTAAGATAGATATGTAAGTAGGTAATCATTGCATTTGATACACCTCTGGTAGCTGAGCTTCTGAATTTGAAGATTTGCTAACTGGTAACAAGCCCTAAGATTCTTGTCTTTATTCTCTTCGTCAAAATTTGAAACCATATACTACTTATGATATGCCAGTCTTCACCAACAGGTACATTTGAGCTCTTTGGACATTCAGGAACTGATGTGCAAAATACAGAAAAAAATACTTTCTACATTTCTCCATTAAATGAAGTTACTTTCTTCAGTGAGAAAAACAAGTAGAATTCAGAGGAATTTCCTGAAGGCTCTTACATGAAATAAAACTTGAGTCTCAAAAGCAGATAAATCCAGATGAAACCTGAAAATATCATAATAAAAACAAATGAAGGAAGGTATTTCTTTGCATTTTCTGTAGCTAAGGTGTGTGGAGCCTTGTGAATACCGAAAACAGATATTAAAAAGGGACACAAAATATCCACTGTGGATTATTAAATTAAAAAAATTGCAAAAAAAAATGCAACTGAATATCTTAATGTTGGGGAAATATTCAGGAGAGGAGATTACAGCCTTCTTGCCCTCTTGCTATAGACAACCTGGGTAAGTGGTATCAGAGGTGGAATACTGGGTTAGATAAAATGTCTACCTGATCCAACACATACTCTTTTTTCCTCAGTATGTCCTCTTACTCAACATAAAAACTTAGTTTCTATCTTTCTGGAACAGTAGGAAGATGGAACACTTTTCTGTGTGTGCTGAACACAGTGGTTTTCCTGTCTGCCATAACACAAACCCACGCTAAGACAATAGAATACATGGAAGAGAAAAGTAGGAGAGACAAACGTTTCCCCAGACTTAAAAAAAAATAAAATACATAATTGTCAGCATAATGGAAGTTCAGCTGGACAATAAGGAAGGAAATGCAATGCCAAGCAACATGAATTATCAGTCCAGTATTTCAGGAGATATGGAATTCATTGCAACAAAAAGCTCCAAATAAAGATCACTACTAGCCTTGTCCAACTGAGAAAAAACTGGAACAAAAAAAAAAAAAAAAAAAAAAAAAAAAAAAAAAA